CAGTCAGGCAGCATTCAGCAGTGTGCCTGCAGGAGGTCCACCGGTCCCGCGGCTTTGGCGGCAGTTCGGCGGTGGGTACGCCGAAGGCGCGGGACCAGCAGATCACCTGCAGAAATGCCGCCGAATCCGCGTGACCAGCGGACCACCCGCAGGCATGCCGCCGAAGGCCGCCTGACCGCTGTGCTTAGGGCGGCAAAGAAACATAGAGCCGCCCCTGGTCTCTGTCCAAAGATACAAAGCCCCTCATTCAGCACATGCATACAAGTGACTTTTCCTCTCGAGATCAGATAAAGTCCAATATTTTTCCTAGCAATGAAAATTTGTGTTGTATGTTTTATTTCAACTTCCTCTTCCATAGCATATATATTATATGCGATCCTTCATACCCTATAAAGAATTGATTTCATACCAGGTAGTTGAAGGCTGCTATCAAATTGCCCCCTCATTCTTCTCTTCGGTCGACTAAATAAGCCCAGTTCCTTCAGCTTCTCCTCATAAGTCATGGGCCCCAGCCCCCTAATCATATTCGTTGCCTCCACTGGACTCTCTCCAATTTCATTCCAGAATGTATATATTTAATTTAAATATATAATTCAAAATAACAAATTCTACGTCTTATATTTAGGCTCACAATTTGTTTAATTCTGGTGCTGTAACTGGGAAAAAAAGTTAACTACATCAAGCAACGCCACAACTTATGTATATTGGGTTCTAGTGTGTTATCAATAGGATAAAAAGTAGTGTCGTAAACCTCAGCCATCCCTTTCTAGGGGGCCTAGTGACTGTTCTGCCCTGGGGCCTGTCATCATCTGTTCAGAGCAAATACAAACATTCCAGACCAATAGCAGATCCCCTTAGCAGATAGACACATTAAGAAAAACTCTTTCTGGCCATTGTTAATGCTTCAAGATTTTAACGTGCCCACATACCTTTCTTCCCATAAGCACATTACAAAGTTTAAAAGCGCAACCGCTTACGAGCATATTTTAGGGCCACACCCCTACTGATAGATCACTTAAGAAATGCAGCTCTTCTCAAGCAAATGAGCTGCACAATATAAGCCTGGCACGACACTGCCCTGGCACAACTCAGCCGCCTCACCTATCAGTGCACTCTTTGCATTAGTGCACTGCAGGGGTTTTTTGTGCACTAATGCAAAGAGTGCACTGATATATATATATATATATTGTGTGCATCTCACACTCCACACAAGATATATATATATGCTCTCTTCCACCATTTCCTGCCTGCGCCTTTCCTTTCCTCTCACTTCTCCTCCCCTTGCACTTCGCCTTGGATACTTGGCGGGCTTGTAGCCACTCCGGTAAGGTCATACCACATCACCCACTGCTTCACATTTGAGCACAGATCAAAGCTATAGACAGACAGACACCCCCACGCACACACCCCCTCCAGGAGCTGATGCAAGTGCAGGTGCAGTATCACTGTCCTACCTAATCATAGCATTGGCACAGCAGCAAGCGTGTGAGCAAGGAAGGAGTTTCATATCAGAAGCAGAATCTCTGGCAAAGGGCACCCTGCAGCTTAAGCTTTAAATATGTTTTGTGTGTTTGGGAACAGGGGAAGGCAAATGGTGAGCCCTCTGTGAAGTATTCTTTTATTACAAGTGCTACAAAAGAGGCTCTAGAAGAGCTGACTTGGGCAATTTCTGTGTCTCAAGGCAAAGCTTACTAATGTAGGTAAAGCAGCAAAAAATCACATGATCTGGTTACTCTGCAGATAGGTGTTTGGAGAACTGGAATCTCCTTCCTCTTTGTCTGCAGTTTTATCACAGAAGATGATAATGTAACAGTCCACTACAGCCCCTCTGAGACCTTGTGGGGGCAGAAAGGACTATATCCTGCTCCATGCACATGGATGCTCCAATGACCTAACACGTCTTTCATCTAGAACTACTATATTTACAGAGGAATCTAAGTGGGTGGGCATGGCCTTCAGATCCAGCAAGTGTTTTCCATTGGCTGAGCTGGTGATGTAATGGAGCAAAGTGCAGTGGGGTTGGTTGAATTTATATTCATAGTTATGGTCTTGGAGTATTTGCCTTGTCAATAACTCCTCTCTCTCTCTCCCACCCCTTCCCCCATCTAGTGTTCGGAGGCAGACAACAAACCGGCCCCCACCAGCTGGAGGAAGACCTAAACCACAGCCAAAACCCAAACCTCAGGTACCGCAGTGCCGAGCACTGTATGCATATGATGCTCAGGACACAGATGAACTTAGTTTTAATGCCAATGACATAATTGATATAATCAAAGAAGGTAAGTAAAGAGGTTGGCGGGGTTTTTTGTTTGTTTTAAATGTCCTTTGTTCACAAATTGCTCCACAATCCCCAGGGTACACTGTCATTGTTAATGGGGGCGGGGGGGGGGGGTGGGTGTTTAAACTGCCTGGACATTTTCCTGGAGAATGACTCCTGCATTTCTTGAGGCAGTAGGAGGCCTGCTTTCGGGACAGGCAGGATAAAGAGGAGCCTTCACAGCTATATCGTGCCTGCCCTAGATTGCTCAGTTGAAGATAAAGAATATTTATTCCCCACTGTGGAGTTCAAAATCAAGTGCCCCACCGTAGCCTCTGGTTGCATGTATAAGACCACGACAATGACTAAAGCACATCAGCTGAAAAGCAATTAATGATGCAGTTCCAATGCCAATCCCCTCCTCCCCCTAAGTGAATAGATAAGGCCTTGCAGTGTGTCCAGAAGGTTAGCCAATCTCATAGCCCTTTGTGTTTGGTCTCTTAAGGAGTAGCTGTGGAAGGGTTTTGCCAGTCTGCACAAAATGGACATAAATTAAAAGGCGGCTAAAAAGGAGGGGGACTGAACATGAAATAAGGATTTCTAAAACCTCATTGTTCATTCTGCTCTTTTTGTCAGATCCCTCAGGCTGGTGGACAGGCAGATTACGAGGGAAGCAAGGACTGTTCCCCAACAACTATGTGACCAAGATATAACAGAATACGAAGAAGGTTTTGTTAAATGAAGGATAGCATGACACTACCAATAATTGAAAAATAGGATGCTTTCCCCTCCCTCTCTCGCATGAGGACAAATGGCAGTTCTTCTCAGAGGCCTATAATTCTTAGCAGCATCTTCACCAGTGAAGTTGTATACAAGCAAGAAAAAAAGTCACTGTTTACTGTCCATAAAGCAAATGTGCAAATCTATACTTCACATACATGTATGGAAGTAGTGAGAAATGAATTATTTATTATATTTAAGCCTGTTTCTAGTGCAGAGTGAATGAAGGTGTTTAGTCCTTACAGTTTTCCTGAAACTGCACAGTGCTTTGTAATCTGGGACCAGGGACTTTGGCAAGGTTGTATTTAACAAGTGCCTTTAGTTTTTATACATATTATATATATAATGAAGATGGCATTATATGCACATTTCCTCTGATGCAGATCACTCTGGGGAACATGGTAAGAATGCTGCTACATGTCACAAAGATGTAGGATTGGTGATGGTATATTTAAATAGTTCTGTACAGATCGTAATGGAGCTGGTTTATTGCTTGCAAGTAAAGTTTAGGGATTCCAAAAGGCACAACACACAAAAAAAAAAAGAGACACTGCTCTACAATGATGCCTTCTCCATGATTTATATTAGAATATGGCTGGCCCATGTTGGATTTATGTTTAATGCTCTACCTGTTACAGCAAACAACTCTTTCCCCTGGCTATTCCCCTGTATAGAAGCAGATCATATACTGTACTGTAAAAACTAATATAGTAGAAATATGTATGAATGTATAATGTAGTATTCACTGTACTTATCCATAAGGTAGTTTTATTAGAAGTTTTGTGCCAGGTACTTCCAAATATGCACTATTCTTTTAGTGATAAAACCAGTGTTAATGCTTTTAAGCCCAGTTGCCTCCCCCACCATTTAAAATGGCTGTTGCTTACCATGCAGATATCCTCAGCATCCATTCTTTTTCTGACACTCCATCAATAAAATACAGGAAGCCAGGAGCTGAGTTGGTTTGTTAAATTTGTAATATATCTGTTTTGCTTGCATGAGTAGCTGGAACTCTTTTCAGAATGTATAACTAAGCTCCTAACACAGAGTTCCAGAGAAGGAAGCAGTAGGGTCTACAACTATATAAAAAGACACTTTCATCTGAAGACAGATATACAGGGGCTAAGAAAAACATTCAGTATGAGTGGTTAGAGCAGCGGTAGGCAACTGGCCACATACAGCCCCATCAGGGTAATCTGATTGCGAGTTGTAAGACAGTTTGCTGCTGTTGACCATCTGCAGACATGCGCCCCTCCTGTGGTTTGCCGTTCCTGGCCAATGGGAGTTGCATCCCTACAGCTCACCACTTCCTGCACTAGCTGCTGCTTCCCAAAGCTCCCAGGGGCTAGGAACGGCGTGGGGGGGGGGGGGGGGCAGTGCTTACGTCTGGTCAACATCAGCAAAATGTCTCACGGCTTGCAATCGGATTACTCACAGGTTGCCCACCACTGTGTTAGAGGTAAGTACTGCACAAGCTAGTATCAAGTGGATTTTAAAGGCAGTCTTCTGGAAGATTAAAGTTGGTTTAGGGCCTGCAGTGAGCCTAAATTGCCCTAACACCACTGTCCCTTCACAATGCACTGGTTGTAGATTAAGTACCTAAAAGGATGTGCTGAACACTGTACAGAAACAGCCAAACCAAGCATAGGCCTTGGCCCCAGCAGTTTACAATCCAAAGTGAAAGGCCAGACAGGGACAGCTGACAAGATTTATAAAAGAAGGTACTATTTTAAAAAGGGGGCATAGTCTGTAATTTCAGGATTAGTATTAGCTTACTTCCCTTAAGTGATAAAAGTAACTTCTACTCTAAGAGGCATTTGGAGGAGAGGATAATGTTTTGGTGAACAAGTTTTAGGAATGTGTTCCGTGTAACCAGCTCAGCATAGAGAGGGAGTAGAATTGCCTCAGCACAGGAACTTCACCCTAGAGAAGCAGCATCTGTCACGAGGCACCAGGAGAAATACAAGAGGAGATTAAAAATTCAGAGTTGAGATAATACTGATTGGAAGGGTCAGCATATGGCACCTTCTCACTTAAAGTACTCAAAATTTGTTCTGTTTGTATAGCACTGATTAAAGGGAATTTTGGTCTACATAAGGCTCCTCATCACTACAGTGATGTAAATAGAGATGGGTTCAGGCAACCACACTGACCTGGTAGTATGCAGTAGAATGGTCACCACCAAAAACAAAACATTTACCTTTAGTATCACCCTCAGTGCAGTAGGTGAGGCAAAACTATCATTTTCAACACACATAAAATGGTTTGAGACTAGCTAGGGTAGTATCAGAGAGTGCTGTACAATATGTAGTTTAATTAAGCCTGGAACTGCTCCAATGGCCATGAAACTTACTGAAAGTTTAGGCCTTAACCCATTTCAGGACTTGGGAAGAGGTCTGAACTTGGGTCTCCCACCTTGCAGGAAAGCACTCTAGCGAGCAGAGGAGGAGAAGATTTTCTGGGGCAGGTTTTGGTCTTCTGTTGAAGCTACTCCAAATTCAAGTCCCTGCACAGGTACCTAATCAAGTGGGTCTCCCACCTCCTAGGTGAACACCCAAATCACATGTTCTCTAGCCCCATAGCCTTCCATTGGGATAGTTCATAATGAACTCAGTAGTAGTTTCACTAGCTTAACTCCAGCAGCTCTAGGAGGGGGAACCCTTTTCTTTACTCTAATTGCCAGTTTCCTACTATCTTCCTCCTTCCAATAGCAGTAGGAAGCTTCAGTTACATGGATTGGAATTAAGTTAAGTGTCAGCTATAGGGGTGGATGATTTTTTCCATTTTCCAATCAGCTCAGCCCTGCAAGAATAGCTGTACTTCATGTCTAGACAGTTTATAGCTTATACATGCCCCACTTCTGCTGGCCTCCATGCATCAGGCAATGGTTAACTCTAGTTACTAAACGTAGACATTCAGGGGGCTTGTTATGGGACTACAACTACATAAGATATAAGAGACATCTCTGCATGTACTACTTTGCCCAATTTGAGGCAACTGAAGATTTTACTCTCCCCCCACCCCCAAAAGCCAGGCTGCTCCAGCTTATGAGTGTAGATTACTGCTAGACACCCTTCTGTTTGCCACATTCATGTCAACTACATACTCTAGAACCCTTTGTTTTAGACAGTGAAGGTTCTGACTGCTGGCCTATTAGGAGGGGGTCATCTTAAGTCTACCCAAAGTTTACTAATTAAGGAGGTCTTTTCACATTTCTTCTGAAAGTCAAGTTCTCATAAGCACCATCTACACTTACTGTAAGTAATGCCCAGGGAGAGGTTTTCTTTTTTTAAAAAGGAGCTTTATTTCTAGATATACAAGAGCATTAAAGGGCAAGTTTAAAAGTTTGCTTTCAGAGTGAATCTGAGGTGTCTGTACTAAGATTGAAGGCTATGTACAAAAGCAGCAGTTGTGCCTCAATAGGCACATGTTGACAAAGTGCATGGAGTAGGAATTGTCTCCCTAGGATTATCCCAAGAGAGATGAAGCAAGGTCTTTGACTGTTTTGGAGTTCAGTTGAGGAATTGTGCTGATCCTCATGAGTTTGCTGCTTGCATACTTGTTCCTTATGGCCTGCAGGAATTAGAGAGACTGTTCAGTAAATATCAGGTTTACATTGTTTTGTGCTATGCTAGAGATAAGTAGTCTGATCTATTAGTAAGTGGTTAAGCCACCTACCCATGTCCACTGAAGCACTTTGAAAAGGGGTCAGGAAGTTGCTTAATAGTCAAAAGAGGTAGCAAGAGCACACTCTTATATAGAGTAAAACTGAAGCAATAGACATCTGTCAAAGTAATTAGTGTTACTTAACATTTCAAACAATTAGATATTTGCCCTTAGCATATACTTACAGTGTATTTTGTTAAGTTCTCATTTACTCTTACTACATTCTTGGCCATATGTTGCATAATTAGCACAAGATTGTCTTCTGCATACCCAGTGTAGTACTGCTGCTTTACACCCTGCAATACAAGACTAGTCAGAACCCTAGAGTAGCATCTTAAAACAGATTAAGACTGCCTGAGGCACTACAGTTTACTTCAGGTAATAATTGTAATAAGTTAGGGTTAGACTGGACATTAGAGGTGACAAGTTCAACTTGAGCTTTACCATGTGTAGCTTAGATCAGAATCATCCTTGCTATTAGGTTAGAGTAGTGGCATCCAACTTATGGATATGAAATCCTTACAACCATATTTCAGGAGCATCAAGGAGGCCAAAGATTTTCTTGAATCTTGTGAGCGGGCAGGAAAATCCTCAACAGGTGCTAAGCAGCTAGTCAGCACACTTAACTGCTCTGTGCAGCACAGGGGCTGGAGGAGAGGGCACCTGTAACAGCAGGGCTGATTCAAACACTTGAGTTTAAGAATTGCAGGGCTCAAACATGTTTTGTTCATAATCCAGGTGCAAAGTTTTCTATTTAAAAATTGCCCAAGGGCCACAAGTAGACATCTTTGACTGCCTGTCCCAGTAAGACTGGTACTGTGATATCCTGATACTATTTCCTAGACATGGTGTTTCCCTACCTCGTCCAAAAACTGGTTCTATGCAAAAGCTGTAAACCAAGCTAACAAGTTAGTGCAGATAGTTTGAAGTTCAGCTGCTGTGGTTGGAATTCAACATCATGCAATCACCATTCTTTGTAATATCAGAACGCACTGCTTCCTGGAGTGGAATTCAGATACTGACCAAAACCATTTCACTGACTGAAAGTTACTACTAGGCTTAGCTATTTAGCGCTCAAGGACATTTTGAAATTGTCTTTTGAAGCAGATGAGACCTTTTAATGCAAGGGAAAATACTCAAGGCATGTGACCTAGTGGTCAAGCTGGCTTTTCCTGCCATTGTTGTTCCTGAAGCTAGTTTAGTTACTTAGCTAGTATGGGCCTGTGCACTATAACACTGACAAAAATGTTCTAGCCTTCCAACTGATAGGCCTGAACATGCCAATGCTTAAGGGCAACATGCTACAACGGTTCCATTTATTACAACATTTCTTGGATTACTTATACTACCAGATATACTTTGCAGTGACCTCACTATTATGTTGGAGTGTAGCCTACATGCTTCATAAGTTTGACAGCAGTCTATTCTGTGGCCTTGAACACCTCACAAAAGCAACTCACCCATTTGCCTTGCCCCAGAACCTTTTGAGACAAGCATAAGGCAGCAGCTGCTATCTCCGAAGGATGATGGTGTATCATATCATAGTCTACGAGTGTCAGCTCCATCAGGTACTTTGCTAGTGTATGTTGCTCAGCATCAGCCTGCCAGATCAACAGCTTGTTAGTTCATGAAATTTGTCACTTCCTTTAATAGGACCGTCAAGGTGGTCCAGTTAATCTACTTTATGTTCTTCCTCCTGTTTGGAAAAGAGTTGTCGACCCTGTTCTCAGTCATACAAGTCTTTGCAACTATGTTGTTGGGAAAATTTGATATCTTCCTTCAGGAGAAGGAGGACAAGAACCTTAACTTGTTTTCCCAGGTTAACAGGGCTCAAGTTCAGTCTAACAGGCATGTGTCACTGTAGTGTTTGCAACAAGCACTGCAGCATAATATTAGCATTACAGCCCTAGCAAATGAGGGGAGTCCCACCTCTCCCTGAAGAGGCTAGAGTAAGACAATGGATTAGTTAAACACTTATCAAAAGTAAGCTGAGGTATTAGAGCTTGTTTTCACCTGATAAGGCTTCCATACTTTGAGCTGGCAAGTGAAACTGTTACTATTAAATTTTCCATTCCTTGTCTCCCTTCAGTTTACAAGCTCACAATACATTTCAACCACAGTTTTAGTATCTTTAAATAAAAAAAAAAGAAAAAAAAAAGAACAGAACAGAAGCCTCAACATGATTGTAAAAGTTGAGACATTCATGTTATCAGCCTTTGCTGCAATTCATAAGTTACTTTGTGGTCATGGAGACAAGCAACTCAATACTGCTCAGTCCTTTTCCTATAACAAGCATTCAGCTATATACATGGCCCACCCACCAGAAAGTCTCCCTCCCACACCCCATGAGCCTCCTTTAGCTCATCATGCTTTAAGTCATGAGGTAAGATATCACTGCCTAAATGAAGTGTTATTAACGGGAGTCCGGACATTCCATGCCTTCAATACTAGTGTCTCTCATGCAGGAGGATTTTAAGATAGCTAGAGGAAGTACCTACCTCACCAGCTTTTGATGCTCTCCTTAAGAAGTGGAGTGGTAGAGGGCGTCCCAAGTCAAAGTTCAGCTCCCTAAGAATCATCATTTCCATCTCTCTGATCTGAGAGCTGGAGTATGCATTGTCAGTGATGTAAACAAAATCCGCAATATCAGGGGAGAATATCTCCTCATACTTTGAGGCAAGAAGCAATGCTGTAACACCGGCCAGCTGAAGCTTCTTACGGGATACTGGGTGAATCTGTATAAGGTAACATGAGTTTAGAGAACTGTTTAATCTTCATGATGTATTATCTTTCAGCAAGTACAAGGTATGTGTTTCCATTTAGTGAGTCAGTACATTTATTTAAGTTTTCAGCATGCAAGACATCTAGATTTATCCTGGGATGCATCTGTGTCCCTAGAATGACTTGTGTTAAGTAGAACTCCCCCTTACACCTCCACTTTAGCTCAGGTTGAAAGTTTAAGTTAACAGATTTTAAGTTTGCCTGGAAGATCTGTAACCCAGAATCCATAAACAGAGAACAAGAGTTATTTTAGATTCATTAAATTAGTACAGTCTCCTGATCCAAGCACATGTTGTACAGGCTTATTATGTTTTAGCTACTTACTTGTAAGAAGCGGTCCATAATCGCAACACACATATACAGTGTTTCCTGCAAGAGCTGAAACCTTGAGTGGACCTGAACCAGCCAATCAACTAGAATTGCACGCATACGCCCATTGATCTCCTTCCCATTGAGGTAGTGTGGACGTACTGATTGCTGCAGCTGTTAAAGAGATTAATATGAAACAGACTGAAAGCTTAATTTCACTTGAATGTGTAGTACTTAGGCATCCATACCTCAAGCTGCCTCAGATACAGATAAATATCCTTTACATAGTCACTACAGAGTTGAGGATTTTCCCAGTCATCAGCATCAATATCCTCTATGTTGTTAAGCAGCACATCAGAGAAAGCTTGGCATAGGTCCTCTTCTTTCATGGATACATCCATAGGGGTTGGAGACAGGATCTAGTAGACAGATTATATAGTCACTGAGGTTCATGCATTAAGTCTCTCATTTTAAGATTTTCCCCTCCTCCCCCCACATGAGTTGTGAGTTTGCCTGTAAACTAAACTAGACCAGCAGCCACCAAAATGGCATGTTGAGTCTTGGGTTTAAGATACCGACAATATAAGGCCTTTACCCAATTATAGATATATTTCATGATCTGAAGTTCTTTTGCAAGTCTTAAAAAGGTAGTGTTAATGTCACATCACACGATAGTTGCTACTGTGAGCTAACCAACTGAAGCCAGGAATAATATCATAAAATTAATCTGATCTTTCTCTGAAAAGGGGATGGAGCACATCTATAGACCAAGTGTTAAAGCTCTGGCCTAGAAAAGGCTAGAGTGGAGGACCAAAGGTTAGGAACTGGAGAGTGGCATAGGAATTTGCTATTTCCTACCTTTGGAACAGTCTCTTCAAGAGAGAAATTCACTGCAGCTGGAGGTTTAGGTTGTGCAGTTACATTTGCTGGTTTAGTAGCTCCTTTTGTAGTTTTTACAGGTACTTTGAAGCTCTCTGTTTTCTACCAGAGGAAAGAGGAACAGTTAACACAGAACTAATAAATTACCTTTCTGTAACAACAGCTAGAGTTGTTCTACAGCTTTACCTTGGCTGCATGTGTTCCTCTGGTTGTAACTCTATTCCCAATCTCTTCCAAAGCAGCCCTTTTGTTAGTCACTTGACTTTTGGCTTTGTTGTTAAGTCCTGTCATAGCATTCTCCACCCCTCTAGTAATCTGCAAGGGAAAATTGTAAGTAAGGTATAGAATTAGTTACTTTCAGATTACTAATCTCAAAGTCACCCACCACCATGGTATCTGGGCACACTATGTGCCACTGCACCATCTTTTGTTTCATGGCACACAACAGTGCTCAGCAGGATGGGGAGGTGAATAAAGGAGAATTAGATTAGATTTATTATCGAGAGTGCAATTAAAAATTGATTACATTTAGCGAGATTAGAGATGAAGTTACCCAAATCTTGTTCTTCCTCACTGGAAACCATGCTTTTTTTTTTAAGCATCAATTTTAGAATGCTCACCTGTGGCTTAGCTATTTAGTGTGTCCACCCAATTGTAACTAAAGCTGAATTTCCATGGAGATGATCCAGTGACCAAACTGGGTTCTCTTATGTCATCACCTAGAGAGGGAATTACTGCCTTATGCATTTTACACTGCATGGTAAGACACGGTTGCCTGTCAGTTATTCGTGCACACGCTGTACTTCAAAGCATTGAAATACTCCCCTACTCAGTTTTAGAGAGAGCATCCAAGCCCTGAAAAGCCTTACCGAAACCCAGCCCTCTTTGTTTGTTACTGTGATGTTAAAAATCTTTCATAAGGACTATAGCTTTCAACAAGGTAAAAAAGCATCACCCCAAAAAGGGTAACATCTACATATGCACAAGTCTTATGAGAAAACTTACTTTTCTGTAAGAACATTTCAGTGGTCACAAGGGAAAAGTTAAGTTTTTGTTATCCCTTTTGTCAGAGCAGTTTGCCCATATTTGGGCTTTTGCAACACTTCCCATCAGAAAATAGGAGGCCAACAGAGTCAGCTGTATTCTATTCTGAATGATGTAAACAATCCCATATCCCTGAGCACAGGAAAAATAGGCATTTTACTTGATGGGAAATCCCTATCTCGTCTCCAGAGCAAGTTCCATGCCCAAGCAGCTCTGTCTCTGCTCCCACAGGAAAGCATGCTCGTAACGGCTGCTCTTGCCATCTGCTGAGTTTCCTGCCTGACAGACATAACTGAGATCAATACCCCAGCCCTGCATGTCTAATTTGTCCCAGGGAAACCACTCAGACCGTCACTGTTCGGCCTTGCCTACACCAAAAACTAACCACATTACTCAGTGGTGGGAAAAACTCCCACCCCGGGGAGATACAGTTAAGCCAACTTAACTCCTGCTATAGACACCACTCTTCCATTGGCCTAGCTACAGCTCCCCAAGGGGGGTATTTACTATAGCAACAGGAAAACCCCTTCTGGAGGGGCAGTAAGTGTTGACACGATCGTTACGCAGCAGGTGAGCTGCAAGTAGGGCAGCTGAGGTAGCATAAGCGACAACCTTAGCCCTGCTCGGGCTTCACGTGCAGCCTGGGGCCGCAGCCTCCGAGTGTCCCCAGCCAGGACTCCGCAGAAGGACATTCAAGTGCTCCGACAGCAGGGGTCTCCGCACGGGCGCTCTCCAGTGCGGGCAGAAGCAGAGCATCAGCCCACCCCCCGCAGCCCCGACCCCAGGGCTCGCTCCGGCAGCCCCGCTCTCCGCAGCCTCCTGCCCGGTCCAGCAGCCAGTGCAGCTCGGTACCGCGGTCCAAGCCTCCCACCGGCCTAGGCCCGCACTCACCGCAGCGCGCCGGACCAGCGCCATGAGGACGGCAGCTCTTGACTGGAGACGGTCGGGCTGTAAGAGCGAGCGCGACCCCTACACCCCTTCCGCCTCTTGATACAGCTACTACACTATTATCTTAGCGCACCGCCCTCAGCTTCAAATAGCGCCCCGCCTGTGCTCCCATTGGACAGCTTCGTACGATGCTCTCATCTGATTGGCCCAGCTTTCGGGCTCCGCCCCATGCGTTGCCGTGACGATGACCCTTGGCCGGGAAGGGAAAACCGGCTTCGAAGCGCTTCCGCGGGAATTGAGATTTTAACAAAAACAAAGGTTCAAAGGGAGCCGGGCCGGATCTCGGCTACGACTGAGAGTTCTCGCGAGCTCGGCCTTGCGCAAAGGAGCTTGGGACACGTAGTCACGGCGGGTAGAGGCAGCGCTCGGACGGGGCCGGTCGGTCCCTCGTGGCTGGGCCGCCAGAGCCGATGGGGGCGGGAAGGGAACCAGCCTTGTTCCGCAAGCGGGGCGGCGCTGAGAGGCGGGTCTTTAGAGAGCGGCCCGGGGCGCGCTGGGCGCGGGGCGGCCTCGCGCACATAGGAGTGACTCGCCTGGCCGCTCCCGGGCTGAGGGAAGCCCCGTTCCGCCCTGTGCAGCGCCCCCTGAGTGCAGTAATGTAACAAATCCTGCATGTGTAAGTTGCACTTTCAGGCTAAAGAGCTGGTCCTACAGTACTTGTGTGAGGGGAATTGAACAATACCATGTCTTTTATCATTGGTACAGGGCAACTGCAGTATTTGTAATCAAATATCAAGTGAGCACTGTACATTGTGTATTGTGTTGTAATTGAAATGGCTATATTTAAAAATATAGAAAATCATCCGATAACATTTAATACATTTAAATTGGTATTCTACTAACAGTGCAATTAATTGCAATTGATTTTTTAATCATGATTAATTTTGAGTTAATCACGAGTTAACTGTTATTAATCGACATTTCTTATATTTTATATATACACATAGACTACAGCTCAGTACACAGTTTAGTGAGCTGAACCAAGAGATGAGTGCTTTTTCTCTTATTCATCCAGTTATTTTTCATATTATATACAGGTATGTTAAAAGTTCCTAATGGCTTTCAAGGCCCTTTATACCTTGTGAACCAAACCCTTAGTAATATTTGCCAAATCCAACAAAATACCAAGGTCTCTCTGGCATTGAGGGCCCACTAAACCTATCAGAAGCTCATCTTGCAGCACAAGCTTATAGAACATGTAGTTGGTGGTTAAAATCTGTGCCATTAGCATATGAAGTTGTGTCTACAGTGTATCTACAAACCTTGATTTTTAAAATGGAAAAATGGGAAAATTAGGTATTGAAACCTTAATATGAAGTGCTTCAAGATACAGTAACTCCTCGCTTAACATTATAGTTATGTTCCTGAAAAATGTGACCTCAAGCAAAACAATGTTAAGCAAATCCAATTTCCTCATAAGAAAAATGTAAAGGAGGGGTTAGGTTCCAGGGAAATTTTTTTCACCAGACAAGACTATTTTTTATATTATATATATATACACCCACACAGTATAAGTTTTAAGTGAACAGTTTAATACTGTACACCGCAATGATGATTGTGAAGCTTGGTTGAGGTGGTGAAGTCAGCGGATGGGATATTTCCCAGGGAATGCCTTACTGGTAAATGATGAACTAGCACTCAGCTGAGCTCCCAAGGGTTAACAGATTGTTGTTAATGTAGCCTCACACTCTACAAGACAGCACAAATGGAGGGAGGGGAGACAGCATGGCAGACAGACACACCCTGTGTGTGTGTGTGTGAGAGATGCGTACTGCCCCTTTAAGTATGCTGACCCCACTCTAACTACATTGCCTTTTTCAGTAGATCAGCAAGTTGAGACAGCAGCTGCTGCCAGCAAGCTCCATCTGTCCTGACCCATATTGTGTCCTGTCTCTTCCCCCCCCCCCTTTTGCTCTATGGAGATAGGGGCAGGGGGACACCTTGACATTAGCCCCCCTCTTCCCTCCCCCCACATAGCAAGCAGGAGGCTTCCAGAGCAGCTCCAAGGCAGAGGACAGGAGCAGCACATGGACGGGGGCGGGGGGAAGGACAGCTGAACTGTTGGCAATTGGTAGCCTGGTGGGAGGCTCTCACACAGGGAACTTAGGGGAGCAAGAAGCTGATAAGGGGCTGCTGGTCCACCCTGTTTCCAAGCCCCCACCAGCTAGCTCCAACGGGCTGCTCTTTCTGCAAGCAGTGGACAAAGCAGGCAGCTGCCAAACAATGTTGTAAGAGAGCATTGTGTAACTGTAAATGAGCATGTTCTCTAATTGATCAGCAACATAACCGGAACAACTTTAAGTGAGGAGTTACTGTAATGTCTTAGAACAGTTGAGCAAAGTATATCCACCTACCCTTTTTTTCTTTTAACGTATTCATGTAGTTGCATAGGAGGCATGGCTAATATTCAAGCAGAGAGGTAATCCAAAAGACAGTTCTACTGCATTGTTAATAGGCAGGACTATAATACATATTATATAAGTGCATATTTCCTTACAGTGGAGAACCCCAAAAGACCCTTGTAAACAACTATGCCTTGTAACACCTGTGATTTATTACAGGTTAAATTCTATTTGATATGGGTATGGCTCAAAGAAAGGTTAGGTAGCATGGCTATAATAAATCTGCCAGTGGCAAAAATTAAAGAGCAGACCATGAATTGGGGTTCCTCTAATTCCCCACATTCACTATAGGATCAAACATTTCCTCCTTTTTGACAGCAGAACTGAAAAATCAGCACAGCTTTTTTCAACAAGGTGAAATCTAACAGACATGCTACTCCAATAATGACTGTTAGTAGTTAGTTAGCTCTCATTGTGTTCACCTGTACAAGCACTTAATACTTCTGTTTCTTTCAATGTTTCTTATTTTTGAATTAAATTTTGGTGCCTCAGCCTTTGAGTGTAATCATTTGATTTTAAGTCTTGCAACCTATCCAATTGTCTTAATTTGATCTTATATACCTTACAACTGTCTTAAGAAAGGTCATTCTTTGCATACCATACCAATTTGTTTTCTTTGCTTTAAGGCTCAGTTTCTTCCTGCTTGATCAGGACAGTCCCATTTTATGGTATGCTCTAACATTTCTCCCTCTGTTATCCCACATAATGTCATTATGTGTTCAGATGTAGCCAGTCATGCATGTTTAGGACTCAGTTTTGCCTAAATGTTCCCCATTGTTTCCAAGTAAATGCTTTAGTTCTTCAGTCAGTTATGTTTATAGTCAGTCCCAGGCAGACTAGGACAGTGGTATAATGGGAGGTCTGCCCTTGAGGCTGCTCCAAGTATGGACTTTTTACTTTCCTTAATATGGAGTTCCATAGCAAGCCTTTGTTATAGTACATTCATTATTGTGCAGGCAACAACTCAATAGTTTTGCATGGAAGTAAAAACCATACAAAAATGATGAGAAAGGAAGTTCTCAGATACTGAAGGTTTTCCCAGATTCAGTGGTACAATGTATTTGTGCTGTAAAGATTTAACCTCAAGGTATTTCAGGGTAATGATAGTGGAAGGCAAAGTAAAACATCAAAGATAAGCATCCAATACATGGTACCATCACCACTGCTTTTGACTGTTTCATGGTGTTTTGATAGTTGTTCAGTTTTCATCAGCATGAAGCACACATACTCCTGCTTCAGAAGCTACTTTTCAATTCACTCACATTTTTTGTTGTAGAACAATCAACATGAAGGTGTTTGAAAATTTCCTTTCATATTCCAAACCCTTTTTTGTGGTTCAGTCACTTAGGCTGCTATCATCATGGGAGAAAATTCTAATACCATGCAAGTATTATGTTCTCTAAACTGGATTTACACTTTGAGTGCAAAATAAATCAGTGTTATCTTATGTACACAAGTAAACAATTCTAGTTGTAATTTGCATGAATTCTCTAAGTTGTAGAGAAAATGACAAATACTGTGGGTATAGCATTTCAAACAAACCACTATTTTAATTAAGGTACTGAATTCTGTATATAGCTGGAGCTTTATAAAATATTTAATCCTTTCATACTGAGGTTGTGATGTTCCCACAGACACATCCATTGTTAGGATGCAAGTAAACAGCAAATGCCTAAGAATTATTGTTCAAATGAAGAGCTTATAAACTAGGAGGCATAAGGGAAAACAACTTTTATGAAAAAACAGACTTCAGATGATCAGTCTAACATTTTATTTATTGCATACAAAAGGATTTGTTCTGACAATGGAATTTTATATGAAAAGTAATTTGATGCATACTGTTGAGACTCTTATCTTGAAAGTCAAAGATGCTGCAGAAAACTTAAGGCAATGCATCTAAGCAAGTAAAGCACAGTAAGTGGTGGAAATTTTCAAAAACCCATTCTTTTTCCTTTCCCTAAATTATATCAGGTCACAACTTTCTGGAATAGGAGTAGGCTGCAGGTTTATTAGCCCCTGCATTAGCACATAGCAGGAACTGAGATTCCCGGCACATAACTGTTAAACATCACTTTACAATATGTTATGTATACATTTAAAAGCAAGACAGTATCAGTAGCAGTTATAAAATAGGTCAACTCATGGGCCACTAAAATACCTCTAAGTACCAGACACCGAAATCTGGTGCATTTTTAAAAAAAAGTCTGTGCTTCTTTGTCCCTGGAACGTATGCCAAAGTGGACTCATTGTGCACCCTTGGTCTCAATTATTTCCATGTCTCTAAATACCTATGATGTAACACTAAAAGTGAGTGTCCTCCCACTTTCAAGCATCAGTTGGGGTGCACCCATGGAAAGCTACCTCCCCCACTTTTCCCTTCATATGCATTGAAGAATGGAAAAGGGTTCCTGTTTGGTCTTTCCAGTTAATTTTATCCACTATGGCTTCAATCACAGGTCCTTATAGCTACATACTCTAAGAAACTTCAGTTTAAAACCATGACAGTTTGGAGAAGCCAAATCACATTACCTTTCTCCCTCATCCCCCTGACCCAACCCCACCAAATTAAACACAAAATGATTCAAGTCATCAAATTAAGTTTACTTTTAACAATGCAAGTAAGCTTTAAAATGTCCATTAATCACAACTGTTACGACAAAACTTCTCCCTGCTTAATGCCTTAGTGCCAGAGGTATTAAGTCTATTGCCAGCAATGGACATTGCATTGGAAAATGCTACTCCTGACATGAAAGGATTTAAAAAAAAAAGAGGAGGGGGAAGTGGAAGCTGCTTTTAACCAGACAAACAGGCATCAAATTAGATAAGGTCACACTTATAAATGGATCACAATTTGTTAGGTGTAAACAAAACATTTTGATTTGTGTTTTACTGTAAACTGTTTTACACTTAACTGATTATGAAAGACACAAGGGAAACTGAAGGTATTTATTATTCAATCCACTTACAAAGCAGGGGGCTTAATGCAAGCTTATTGACATGTTCATATATGATCCCATAGGAACATCT